CCTATTTTGGGGGAGAGGGTGCCGACGTGCCAATGGAAAATCTATGGGGTAGGAGCCTCCAAAGTGGGGGGCCCATTACCTCCCTCTCCTCACCCAGACCCCACCCCTGAGTGCACACACACAGCCTTGACCCACCTTCTTCACTGTTGGACTTTGTCACCCCTACAGCAGTCTGGGAAAGGCTGAAAACGAGATGCTCAGAGAAGGGAAGTGACTTGCCCAAAGTCACACAGCTAGGGCAGGGCAGTGACCTGACTGGGCTCTCATGGTTCACAGTCCAGTGCTCTCCACATGGAGGCAACCCCTGTCTATGACCTCACTGGGGAAGCCAACACCTTGTCCTCTGGCGTGTCAAGAGCTCAGCCATAGAACATTCTAGGTTGGACTGGGCAACAAGCTGAGCAAGACACAAAGGTCTTGATGACACCCCAAAACCCACTGCTATTGAGTCAATTCCGACTCATAGTGACTCTATAGGCCAGGGTAGAACTGCCCTATAGGGTTTCTAAAACTAAATCTTTATGGGAGCAGACTGCCTCATCTTTCTCCTATGGAGCAGCTGGTGGGTTTGAACCACTGACCTTTTGATTAGCAGCCCAGTGCTTTAACCAGAGCACACCCAGAGCTCGTTCTTGATGACCACAAGGAGAGAAATCCTACTGGAAAACCCCAGGCCAGTTCTGCTGAGACTTTGCCTGGCTGCAGAAGTTACCACCTCTCACCTCATCCCTGTGACCATCTCACCCCCTGCCCTACCCGGGTCCTCAGAGACTGACAGCTGCTGCCAAGTTTCCAGGGAACGTGTCAGATAAGGGGCCAGTTCTCATGACTCCTTCCCACCCAACCACTATCTCTGGCCCCACTGCCACCACAAAGCAGTAAGAATAGCAGCAGTGCTGGTGAGGGGGTTATGCACAGGAGCACTACAACCTGGGACAACACAGCAATGGCTACAGCAGGCAACCCGGGCCTTCAGATTGAAGACAAGGCTCCAGGCTCCCCCTCCCCATCAGGCCCAGCCCCTCTGCTCCCCCTAAAGTCAACACATTGTGGTACAGCTTGAGCTTGTCCCTGGCCCCTGCTGCCCCAGTGGAGGGGACCTGAAGGAGACCACAATGCCCTGTTGATCCTGGCCTAGGGCCAATGAGCAGGGTGGAACTGCAAACTCTCCCTCTCTGAGCCCACAAGCAGGACAAGTGGAGCAGAGGGTCCCTGATGGGTAGAAGACAGCCAGCCAAGGAGCTAGGGCTATAGCCCCTTGTTGTCCTGGTAACTGCAGCCTGGCTTGGTTCCTGAACTCTCACCCTTTGATCTTCTGGTCAGCAAGGAGGTGGATGGGCTGAAGATTCCCATGTATGAGACTGCCTGGATACAATCACGGGGGGGGCGGGGGGGGGAGCGGCATGTGGTGGCTGAGTCCCCTGCGTAAGTCTCTCTGTGATGCTCCTGTGGGTATGCGCCTTTGTGTTCAAGTGTGGGAGGGCAGCCACGTCTCTCTAAGCTAAGAAGCTGTTGTCATAGAACCCACGGTGAGCATCACCATGACACCAGAAGTGGGGTGGGATCTAAGGAGCCTCATCTCCACATTGCCAAGTCACTGTGACCCCTGTAGTCAAGGCAGCTGAGTGCCCAGTCTCATGTCGGCGACCCCGGCCGCTCTCACAGCCTGACTCACTGCCTGGCTCAGACACAAGCCCTGCCCAGCCCCCTCACCCTTCTGCTCCTAGCCCCCATACTTTACTCATCTACCCCCTGTTCTCAGGCAACTCTTCCTCTTGACACTTGGACCTGGGTCAGCAGGGCAGGCAGGGATGTCCAGCACCTGCCTTCTGTCCCCCATGACTCCCACTGACTAGAGGGAGGGAGTCCAGAATGCTAGGGAGGGGGGGTAGGGTGGGCTAATGGAGTTCCTCACATACACACATTCAACATGTACATCACATAGACCAGACTTTAATGCATATATACATATACATGCATACACACACACGTGTGTGCACACACATATGCCTGATGGAGTGACAGGGCTGCCAAGGGGTCTCCCTGCCAGGTAGTCAGTCACCCAGCAACCTCTGCAACCCTTTGGGTCCTCCCACATGTCTGAGACCCTCTCACTAGAGGCATATTATCCTGCAGCAGTAGGATGTTTGAAGATGAGATCATAGGAAGAACTTTCACCCTGAGGCCCAAGCTAGAGGCCAGGGGGTAGGTGTAGGTGGGTGTGGGTGGGATGGGGGTCTCTGAGGTGCCAAAGCTGTATCTTTCTTTGAGGGTGAGGGCCAGACTGACCTCTGGGCCTCTCGCTTCAAGAACCCTAATCACTGGGGCTGGAAAAAGTTTAAAAATATCCTCATGTTTACATTCTTTCCAAGCCTGCCTCCGAGCCTCAGTGCTGGGTCCCTTTGATCTGGCCCGGTGCCTCTGGATAGGGCCTGGGAGAGGGGGAGCAGGAGTGCCCAGCCAGGCCCACCCTATGACCCCCTCTAGCTCCAGACCTAGCCGAGCCCTGTGAAACTCTTGGGAATCACAAACTGGGAGAGAGCTTGGAGCCAGAAAGGAGCCAAAGCTGGAGGGGTGTGTCTTGGCCAGAGTCACCTAGAAGGGCCTCTTACATCCCCTCCCAAAAGCCTGGGCTTCAGGGGACCTCTCTGTGTCTATGCTGATTAAGCTCCTGCTGTGCTAAACGTGTATTACAGGGGTTATCTTCGGAGGCCTCTGAAGAGCCCCATGAAGTGAGAGCCATTTTATCAGCAAGTAAACTGAGGCTCAGAATGGTGAAGCAGCTCGCCTGGGACCACACAGCGAGAACAAGACAGAGCATGACTCACACTCTTCAACCTACACTAAGCCAACCAGTTACCCCTAGTTATCCCCCACATTGCCAGAAGCAGAGCTGGCCCTGCCTGAAGAGTGAGGACCACTTCACTAGCCTGAATCCCCACAAGCACACACTGACCCCCTGCCAAGACCAGAGACCCGTGCCAGCCTCTGATTTCATGACTTCTGTGGCCCAGGACAAGCCACACCCCATCTCTGGCCCTCACCTTCCTCTGTAGAACTTTTCCGATCATGGAACGAAAGGTTTATGCCGAAGATGTTCAGCGAAACTGAGACCTTCCTTCTCCCCAGGGAAGGGGCTTGTGGTCAGCCCCAGAAGTGACAAAGTCAAGGAGTAGGCCTGGAGGCCCAAGTAGGAAGCCTTCAAATTGGGGCAGAAACCTTGATTTTCCCCAGGTATCTTGTCATCCATACTGTCTTTTTTTGGTTGCCCTGCTCACCAACCTACCTACCTCTCCATCCATCCAGAACAAGAGCTCAGAAAACAGGGTGATGCCAGGGTCCCAGCTCCTGTGCTGCACCTCCCTGGCTGCATGAACTTGGGAAGAGCCCTCCACCTCTTTGAGACTGACTCTCACAGCTTTCCAAGAAGGAGCTGCCCAGGGTAGTTTCTAAAACAGACCCTTGTGGGGGCTCTAGTGGCAGCAAGGGCCAGCTGATGGCCGGCTTCCAGAGAGGCAACGTGGCCTTCAGTTAGCATTCCTCCCTTGCAGCCCACTTCCAAGACTTAGCTGCAGCCCTGAACCTCCCTGACATTTCCCACTGGGAACTAAGGCCAATAATCCTGCCCTCACAGGTGGACAGAAGATGAGATGGATGGCTGCTGTCAAAGAGTTTGCACCCTAAGGACTTCCCAATCAGTTCATGTTGAGCAGAGGACCCTGGGAGGGGCAGGGGAGCCTCCAGTGGGGGTGTCTGGGCTCTGGATGGCTAGGGCAGGCCTCAGAGTTCGTCCCCGGTCTGGAGACCCTGGCTGAGGCTCCCAGGCTCCTCCAGGCCAGCCCGTGTGCCCGCCCCGTCTCTCTTGGCTGGGCTTGGCCCCTGTCCCACAGAATCTGCCAGGAGTGGAGAGATTATCTCCTAAAAATAGAAGCTGGGCCCCACACAAGTTGTTTTTCTCCCTTCCCCGTGATTTACCATCATCAGCTCAGGGTGCCCGGGACAGCAAGTCCCGCCCTCTCTCCCCAGAGACCGTTGGGATGGGGGTAGAGGGGTCACCATGTTGTTGGGCTCAGTCTAGGGTCAGGGCTTGGAGGTCAATCTGGGGATGTAGTCAGAGCTCAGCATGGCACCAGGGCCATGGCTCAATCTTGGGCCTGGGACAGAAGTTCCAAGATGGGCAAGGGAGTTCCCATCCCACCCTAATGGTGACCATTTGAGGAACTCCCCCTTCTCTAACTTTCTGAAGCCCCCCACTATGCGTTTATTGCTGTGTGGGAAGCCCAACGGTCTCTTGGGGCTGCCGGGCAGGAGACCCATCCCCAGCCTTACCTGTTCTGTTCTAGCCCTGTGGACCCTTGAGGTTTCTGCCCAGACCCCTCCTGAGAGTCAGAGACCTCAGCCCCTCCTGGTGTGCAGAGGACTCAGGCACAGGGACACACAGCTTGTGCCTTCTTATAGAAGATAGCATCCAGGAAGCACAGAAATGACCCCCTTATGGACAACCCCCTCCAACCATCACCTGAACAGGGTGGCCAGTGGGCTCCAGATACTAATAGAGGTGACTCCCCCTGCTCTGGCCCCAAGGTCTCACCAACAGCCCATATGATGCCCCCAGGTCCTTTACCACCGGGGACCCCCGGCTTGTTCCTCAAGCCCCCAGTCCTTTCTGGGAAAGAGATGAATGGGCAGGTATGTGCACACGCACACACGGACACTCAGACACAGGCATAGCAGTCCCCTAGGGCTCTTGCCCAGCTCTCCAGGGCTTTATTATCTGGCAAACATGCCACCACTTGGAGTGCTCACACAGGCAGCCCATAAAGCCCTTGGCCAGGCCCTGCACACATGCCTGGTAAGCATCAATGCCTCCACCACCCCAGGGCAGCTGGAGGTGTGTCTGCTCTGTCCTGGCTCCGGCTGCACCTGGGGTGCTGGGCCCCCTCCCAGTGAATTCAGATGGAGCCAGAGACCAAGCTCCCAGCTGAGGCCGCCCGGACCATTCACACTGCCGCCTTCAGGGGCACACTGTCCACTGGCTGATCCAGGTCTTTCTTCCTCGACAGAGCCAAGTGGGTGAAGATGAGGATGAGAAAGAAGCCTGAGGGGCCCAAGAATGATGCATCAGCCAGGAGAAAAAGCTGTGGGACTTGTCTGTCAGCAGGGAGCTCCTGCTCTTGGTATTGGTTTCATCATGTGGCTAAGTTTCCTAGACAGTCTCCAAGGCTGAGCTGGGTGACTCTGTAGTCCCCACGCCTGGAGAAGTATGATTGCTTGGTCAGTCTGGCCCGCAGTAGGCCTGTGCCCCTTGGAGGCTGCCCCAGAACACTCAGCCTCCCCTTCTCTGAGAGGCAGGTTGAATAGGGATCCTGTGGGAGCAAGTGACTTGTCCTCTGTACCTCCGAGAGAAAGGCACATTGTAGCACTGTGCTAGAGTTGGCAAGGGAAACCAACCGCCCATTTAGGGGGAGCTAAAGAAATAAAAGGGAGAAGAATGGCTTGGACTGAGGAATTAGCCTAGAAGGACCTGGGCTCTGCCACACCCTGGCTGTGTAATCTTGAACAAGTCACTTAATCTATCTAGCCTTGAAGAGGTCATGTGGAAAATGGGGAGGGTTGTGGGGGAGGAGGCAATGAGATAATCCATGTGAAGTGGTCGGCACAAGGCCTGACACAAAGGAAATGGGGCTATTCATGTAACAGGAAGTGCTATTACCAATGATGATGGTGACTGATAACGGGGCCCCACAGTTGTCTGACTAGGAGAGTTGGGGGACGCCGATCATCGGGCGGCTATGACTCCGGCCATCCGTTGCCCTCCCGCCATAGCTTAGCTTCCATTACCTATTGCTGCCAGCGTTCCCACGAGGATGCCCACTGCCGACAGCTTCGTGGGCATGCCCTTCATGCGGCCCACTTTGCGCAGGCATTGCCCCTCCACGTTGCACCGACACACGACCACTACGGGCCCGGGGAGGAAGGTACAGAAAGGTAGGCACAGCCCTGCAGCTGCTCAGGTTCCCCAGCCTGGCCCAGCTGGCTGGTATGTGTGCACATGTATGTATTCATGTGTGTGTGGAGGTGTGTGCTGCTTGCACAACAGGTGTGCATAGGCATATGTTGTCTGAGCCTGCCCTCTCCCTCTGCGTGGTACGATTTAGCTTCCCTCAGGACCCCCAGGCTGCCAACTGTGGCTGCACCTGGGCCCCAGCCTCACCTCGGACAAGGAGCTGCCACATCTGGTCATTGTGGCTGACAGCCACTGGGACTATGTGTTCCTGTGGTTCCACCCAGTGCAGGCCCAGGGTGAGGTAGGCGTGGGAGCCTGTCCAGAGAGCAGGCGAGTGAGCAGGGCCACTAGCCAGGATGGTGGGTGAGTGCTCCCCCCAGGGAGTCGGAGGGTGCTCCTCCTCCAGGCCCAGCCCCCCCTCCACAGTGAAAGGGCATCCCACTTCCAAGTGCCACCCTTCCCTGCTTGGCTGCAGCCTCTCGTCCTCCCTCTCTCCACACACCGTTGAGGGCCTGGAGGTGCCAGTCTCGCTGCACTGTGGGGTTGGGGCCAAGGGCAAAGCTGTAGGGACCCTCCCCACTGGCCAGGTCAGGGTCTCCACTGGCACCACTAATGACGATGCCGTGGCCCTGGCGGGGTGTGCAGAGGTGTCGGGCAGGCACGGGGGCTGGAGGCAGAGCTGGAACTGGTGGGGCCTCCAGGAAGTGGAGCACTAGGGTCACAGAGGAGTTCAGTCCTGGCTCCTCTGCAGAAAAGGCAACACTGTGGTGAGGGTGAACTCCAGAGTCCCTGGGCAAGTCCCCCTCACACGTACCGCTGACTTCCCTCCCACCACATCCCCCTCCACTTCACCCCGTCTCTCCATCCTCATGTGCTTTCCCCTTTACTGTCTGGCTGCCAGACCCACCGTGCCTTTCTGGCTGCCAAACCTGCCCTCACCCCTACCCCCCTGCCCCTGCCACTGACGCCAGGTAGGATTCCCCTGCACCACAGGACAGCCCAGCGCAGAGTTGACACCACTCCCTGGCATGTCCACTGTGGGTCAGCTTGACATTCTGTCACGAGCAGTACACGCACCTGGCCTCAGTGTTCTGTCCAGGTTCACCTCCTGGCATGCAACCCAGCCAGACTCCCACCTCCCCAGCCCTGTCCCCAGCCCCAGACCCTCTGCCAGATACCCTGAGAGGCTCTCCAGGAGCAAAGGGACAGGATTGGTGGGGAGTTCTAGTGCCATGCTAGGAGGCTGCTCTGCGAGGCTGGTCTGGGAGGCAAGGAGAAACCAGGCCTCCCCCCTTGGTGTAAACCCCTTCTCAGGGTCTACCTTAGCCCTCACCTTGCCCCTCCCTCCTGCCTGGGGCTGGGGGGATGCCTGCAAGGGCTCCAAGGAGGAAGCTCGGCCTGCTGTCTGAGGCTTGTCCTCCCTCCCAGAGGCCCCACCACTACCTGACCATACCTGCGTCCTGCACCATCACGGGCACCATGTACACGGCCCCAGGCTGGGCGCCCTGCAGGGCCCGGGCTGTGTACACCTCCCCAGAGCTCTCGCCAATGCAGAGCCAGCCCTCTGTGTCATTGTCCAGAGAGAACCTGGGACCCAGAGAAAGTGGAAGGGGGAGAGAGGCATTGGGAGCACACTTCAGGGGCTTGCATAAAGACCCCAGGGATGTGTGACCTTCCCAAGTTCCACATCTCTATAGCTCAAGGGTGACAGCATGGCCAGCCCCTCAGCCCCTCTCCCCAGCTGCAGGGACTGAAGGATGACTCTGAATCAGGACAGAGGAAGCCTGGGGGATAAAGGGAGCAGGTATATCGTGGGAATGACAAAAAGTCCCAAACTAGGAGGGGAAGAGCCTGCTTGTATTGGGGGGCTTGGACCATGGAGCAGGAGAAGTCCAGCCCCAATAAGGCTCACCTGAGGGGGCTGCTCTTGGGGTCTGAGGGCTGGATGGTCAGCAGGAGGGAGCCGGGTTGGGTATTGACTGGGACGCTGGCCTCATAGATCTCCTGGTCCAGCTTGGGAGGTAGTAGCACTCTCTCCACTAGCACAGTCACTGTGGCTGTGGATCCTGGACCTGGGTCTGGCCCCACCAGATTCACCACGCTGTGCGCCACTACCACCAACTTGTAGCTTGGAGCTGCCTCATAGCTGAGGTTCTGGAGTCAGTGGACCCTGGGTCATGGTGCAGGCATGTGTGCATAGGTGCACCCCCTCCCACTCACCCATCAGCCCCTTACCTTGTGGAGCCAGAGTTGGGCATGACCAGTGTCTGGCTCCCAATCCAGACTGAAGGTCCCATCTATATCCCCTGCCTCAATGGCAAAGTCCATGAGGCGGAAGGCAGGCTCAATGTCGGCATCAGTGGCTGTGAGTGTGGCCACCAGAGTCCCGGGCTCTGCATCCTCAGGGAGCCTTATGGGCCCAATCTGGAGAGATGGGAAGAGGCCATGAGCCCCCCCATCAGCACCATCCCCAAGGTCTTCTCCCTAGCTCCTGCTTACCTGGGAGGTGGTGAACTTAGGGGCATGGTCATTGATGTCTAGGATCAAGACAGTGACCTCACACGTGCTGCTGAGGCCTGAGGAAGGGGAGGGCATGTTGGGGAGGCCATGGTAGGAATGGAGGGGCAGGGGGTCTGGGTACCATCAGGGCACTTACCACCCTCTGCTCCTGCCAGGTCAGTGGCCAGCACCTGAAGCAGGATGTTCTGGCCAGCGTGGAGTGGGGTGGCCCCCAGTGTCACACTGCCCGATGTGGGGTCCAGCTCAAAGGCTCTCCCCTCTGCCCCTTCATCAGGCTCAGGGCTAAGCAACCGATACACAATATGGGCATTAGGGGAACCAGGGGCATCTGCATCCTCTGCTGACAGCATAGTCACTTCTGTGCCTGCAAGACAGCACCCACTTGTATAGGACTATGGCCCAGCTTGGAGGTCCACTTCTCTTTTATGTTGGACTGAACCTGAGCTTGTGTGTGTGTGCTTGGGAGGGGGACATTGATGTTGGTGGCTTGACTGAGGCTGGGCTCCCATCCCCAAGAAAAACAATGGTTTGGTTCATAGGGAAGTCATCTTTCCTCCCATGCCCAACAAGGCCCATAACCCACCTGGGGGGCTGAGCTCAGGGATGCTGATTGTGGGGCCACGTGGGGGGCAGACAGGTGCGTTGTCATTCTCATCTGTCACTACCACCTGCAGCTCCAAAGGTTCTGTGTAGTCCTCACCACGGGTATTCTGAGCCCATACCTGGAGCAGGTACTGTAGTAGGCAGTGGGGGCGGGGGGGCTTCAGGTAAGGACCAAGGGCAATCCAGCCTGGCCAGGGTTTCTAGTGGCTAGCTCTAGCTCTTCCTAGTTCACTTCCACTGCCTCAGAGTCTGTGGGTGGGATGATATCCCAGAAGACAGCACAACAGTGACCAGACACCCCCAGCCCACTCCCCTGGTTTCCCTCTCACCTCACCTCAGCCTGGGCTTCTCGGTCCAGGTCCCTGGTCACATAGACTTTTCCTTCTGTGTTCACATCAAAGGGCCCAGGGGGCTGGCTCTCCAGATGGTAGTGCACATCCCCCCCACTCCAGTGTACCTGGTGGGGGCACAGAATAAAGGTGGCCCTCCAAGGACCAGGAACAAACCCATGTCAACCCTGTGCCCCAGCTGCTTCCTGGGTGGGGAGCCAATGTGACCTCAGAAAAGTTGCTACCCTCCCTGGGCCTGAAGTTTGGGGTCTTTCTGTTTGGAGGCACTAGTTACTGTGGCAACTCCACGGTGGCCCTGTACTGGTCCAAGCCTAGACCTTGCCCAATATGCCTGCTAACCAGGTTACTTTATTTTCTGCCCTCTCAGACTGGGCCTGATCTCAAGGAATTCCTAGAGGAGGTCTGGCTTACATGGCAATCCTTGCAGCAGCAGGAGGTGGCAGCTGTTCTCCCTAAGAGATGCTTGGGCAAGCTGAGGAGGTCAGAGCACAGAGCCGTGCCTGCCAGAGGACAACAGGTGAGGGATTGTGGGTCTGTCTCAGGGCCTTGAATGCCCCACTCCATTATGTGAACTGATGGGAATATTGGAGGGAGGACCATAGGTGGGGAAGGTCAAGGGTCAAGGTGGGCCCCAGACTCTAGTTCTTCATAAGACTCAAGCCCAACTGTACTCTCCATGGGGATGCTTTAGCTGCTGACAGCCACTTACTCACCTGGGCAATGAGGTGTGGGTATGGGACTTCAATATTCTCTGCCAGGTGGGCGGGCTCTAGGGGCTCCCAAGTGTTCTCTACTATGGAGACATCTATGGTGGCTGTGGCCTGGTGGCCTGAGGCCTGGTCACCCATGTCCTTGACCTGTACCAACAGCTGGTAGGGCCCCTCCAAGGCATGGTCTAGGTTGATGCTCCCTAGGAGTGGTAGGGTGGTCAGATGATCAGGGAGCCAGGGAGCAAGGGCCAGGGCATCCTTCCCAACAAGGTACCAAACACAAAGCTAGACACATAGCAGGTGTTCAGGATACTCTCTTGGCCAAGGGATGAGAAGAACTGTTAGCACTATTGTGAGCATAAAATCAGGACTTGGCAGTTTGCAAAGCCACTTCCATATCAATCCACACAATGAAGAATAGTTATGAATGTATGGTTGGTGGATGGATGATGAGGATGGAGTTGGGGCATGGATGGGCAGATGACAGGTTGGATGAATGGATGGTTAGCTAGGTAGATGGTTGGGGGTTTAGGTGGGTGAATGAGTAAGTGTTTTGATGGAGGTTGGACAGATGGACTGCATGGGTGGTTGACAAATAGGTAAATGGGTGGATGGCCGGGTGAGTGTATGAATGACTTTTCTTTCCATCTCCAGTTCATGCTTTGGTCTGAATTCCCAGGTCCATGTCCCTCTTGCCATCAGTCCTAAGGTCTCCCAGTAGTGTCCTAGGCTATAGCCCCTCAGACCTCTTCTACTCTGGTCCCTTAGCCCCAGGTCTCCAGAGCATAGGGCTGAAGTACTGCACACCATGCATGGTCACTCCATGCATGATCCTTCCTCCAAGACTTGTGCTTTGCTTCTCTCTCTGCCTAGAATGCCCTTTCCTCCTCTTTTATCTCTCAACGTCCAACCAACCCTACTGAAGCTCTTATGTGAACTTCTCCAGGTTTCTCTGACCCTCCCTTTCCACTACACTGCGGCTTACCCTCGGGGCTGAGGGCCAGAGCCCCTAGCTGGGGCTCCAGTTGGAACATGTTTGGGGAAGGCTGGGCTGGAGCCTGGCTCAAGATGTGGAATCGTAGATCCGAGTTGGCTGTGCCTGGCTTGTCTCCATCAGAAGCCTCAAGGAACAGGAAGGGAATGCCTGGTGTTTTGGGGGAGGGTGAACCATAAGGGAGAGAGGGGGTGGAACAAGTCCCCTGTGTCTCCCTCTCTCTCCCTGATCCCTTCTTTCGTATCCAGCATCATGTCAGGACTCTGGAGATGAGCCATGGCTTTTCAGCCCACTTCACAGATGAGCCAATTAAGGCCAAGAGTGGATAGGATGCACTTGAGGGCCCTCAGCTGGGTAGGTAGGGGAGAAGAATGGGATGGAAGTAGGAGGCATCTTGGATCCTTGCTGCCCTGTTCCTATGAACAGGGCATCCCTGCTCTCTGCTCTCCTCAGGCCCACCCGACCCTACTGTGATGTGGCTGCCCTAGGCACTCACCAGGCCTGGTGCCCTGGCTCAGCTTAGCTCTGTAGATGGCCTGGGAGAAATGGGGCACCTGGTCATTCTCGTCCTTCACACGTACAAACACAGAGTGTGGACCCCATAGGACACGTCCATCCTCGGTCTGCAGGGTCACCTGGCAGGGAAGGGATAGTCAGTGCTAAACTCTACCTTCACTGCTATCCCCTACACACCTGGCCCAGACATACCTGCAGCCTGTACTCTGCCTGCTCCTCTCGGTCCAGGGCCCTGGTCACCAGCAGGAAGCCAGACTCTGGATCCACAGCAAAGGGGCCCTCAGCCATGACGTTTGAGTTCTCAGACAACACGATCTGGCCCTCGGTCTTCTCACGTGGCAATGGCAGCTAATGAGGGAGTTGGGGCCAAGTCTAGGGGAGGTTAGGCCCACCCAATGAGGGCCCCATTTTACATACAGGGACACTGAGACTCAGAGAGGGCTAGCATGTGCCTGAGGTCACATAGCCAATAAGGAATAGGGCTGCAGTACAAAACCAGAGCCTTTTTCCCCATAACTGATATTCCCCAACATTCCTTGCCCTCCTTTCTAAGACCTATTTTATTCATTAACTTAAAGCTCTATTTTCCTCTGAGATTAAAGCCTTATTAGTCATTAACACTGTTAGGCATACTCTCTGGAGAGCAGGGTTTAAAAGAGAGCCAGAGAAAGAGGAGGAAAGGGCCCTGGAGGTTGGAGTAGCAGGAAGTTGGGGAGGAGGGGGCAACCATCCAGCTCTCAGACTCACCTTGGTCAGGTACAAAGGGAAATTTCCACCATAGTTTTCCGGGACTTCCACATGCAGCTCTGCAGGCTGGCCCTCGAGAAGAACCTATAGGAAAATTCCCTCCTTACCCTCAGGGGCTATCTCCCTGCGGAGGGACCCCACAGAGGAGGGGCACTTTCATTCCTTCCCTGGACCTGGCCAGACGTCAGTCAATCACCCTTTGGCTTTTGGCTCCCTGATCAGTCGATAAGCCTATAGTCAACTTTGACACCCTTCTCTCCCCAGCCCCCAAACAAACTACGTCCATGGTCAGTGCAACTGGTCTAGGTGGAGGAGGGGCATAGGCTTCAACACCAAGGCCAAGATCTGAAGAAGAAGGGTAGAGCCCAGCTCACCTGGGGGACAGAGAAGCAGAGCAGCCACAGCCAGGCAGGGACCATGGTCAGGACAGACCTGAGGGACATAGTGGTATGGATACAGGCCAGATCACTAGAGAGAGGGCTATCTTGTTAACGCCAGTCCCCCATCAAGGCATCTCTGCTCCCGTCCCCACTCAGAACCAGGCTATGTCTTTCCCAAGCCCAGCGGGTACAACTTTCCCAGCTGACCCCTCTTCTTCTCTAGTCACTTTGGGGTAAGCAGCCTCCTGCCCTTCTATTCTGCCCTAGCAGCTCTCAGATCTGCCCCTCCCCACCTAGCCCCAGCCTTGTCTTCTAACCTTAGTCCATCCCGTACACACACCCAGAAGAATCTCACTTCAGACTGGCCTCTCTCTCCCCTTGAAGGGTCTGAGATTCCCTGTGGCCTGCAGGTAGTGTCCAACTCTTGGCCAGGCCCACCCAGGCCCCAGGCCCAGCAGCCTTGCCTCTTGGCTGTGGCCCCTAAAAGGAGCTCTGTGGGAGTTTCACCTCCAGTCTCCTTCCAGCCATCGGCCCCCGAGCTTGCAGACCCAGAGTGGCAATTTCCCAGCCGACCCGAAGACTCACAACAGCTCAAAACTGGAAAGACCTGACAACTCTGAGGGTCACTTCCTGCTGACCGCTCATGTGGCAAGGCCTGAGGAGGGGCAGGGCCTGGCCAAGGTCACTGAGGACTTGACCACAGAAGGGTTCCTCCTGGAACAGAGGACCCTTGGCTCAGGATCTCCAATCCCATCTGAACTCCCATAGGGCACCCACAGGGCAAGAGCCTGCCCTCATTGACATTTTACAGCTCTCAGCATGCAGCGTACAGCTGGGCACACAGCATCGACAGCCCCTTCAAGATGGATCCCTGGGAATTCTTCCCCGGAACAACAGGATGATGAGGCCATATTTCTGCAAGCTGCTGTTCCTGGCCACCATAGTTCTTCCCTCACCACCACTCCCAGTGCCAGCCTTGCTCACCCCCCTGCTCCCAAGCACCTCACCCGTCAGTGCCTAAGGCTGGCTCCCTTGGTCCAGCTGCCAGGTGAAAGGGTTCCTTCTCCAGAGAGCTCTGGCCAGACCAAGCCAGATGGAGTAGGGCAGGGTGGACACTTGCAGGTAGGTGTCTGGCCACACTTGCTCAGGAGTGGAAAACACCACTGGGTCCACAGTAGCACACCCAGCCCTACCCAGTCCCCCAGGTTACTCATTGACCTTGCAAAGCTGAGTGAGGGCTGCCCGGCATCCGTGACCGCCAGGCTGGACACTCCCTCCACCCCGACACAGCCCAGTAGGTATTCCACGGGCCTCTGGGTTTGGACACTGATTCTTTTTCTGTGGCTCCAGACTTGGCTCCGCTGCCCCTCACGTACCGGTGTCTTTACCAACACATCCTCTGTTCCTTTAGCGTGTAATTCCTTTCCCACTCCCTCATCTGTCTGCTGAGTACCTGCTCATGCTTTAGCACTCCCTTCTCCAGGAAACCTTGCCTGTATTCCCAGGCTGGTTCACGAGCCTTCTCTGGAAGCACCCCCCCACACACACACCACGTGCTATCTTTCTTTATCAACACAGAGGACGTCAGATTGTCATTGTCTCTCTTTTCTATCAGATTTGGAACCCTGGAGGACTCGAGACCTCAGCAGCAGTCTGGCTCTCACGATGCCCTGGCAGTTCCTGGGACAGGAAGGAGCTGGAGGTTGCCCATGAAGGATGGGTGAGCAGTGCTCAACCTGAACTGGGCAGTCAGGCGTCCCGGCTACCCACTGGTAGCCCCAGTGGGCGAGCAGCTTATGATCTCCCTTAAGTCTCCACAAATCCTCACAGGCCCTGGATACTAACAACATTGGGACACTGGACTGTCTCGTGCCTCTAAGAAGGAAGAAGTTTGAACTAGCCCAGGTGACCTTGAAGGAATTGCAGGGCTGACCAGAGGGCCTTCCCCCAGTGAGCGCAGCCAAGCAGAGCCAGGAGAAGCTTCTGGGGCTTGGGAACCGGAAGGGAGGAAAGAGGGAGGGAAGGATCAGGGATGCTGGCCTCGAGTCCCTTGGAGCTTGCCAGGGTCTCCAAGTCCTTCCAACTACACATCTCCTTAGCCTCTGTCAGGCTAAAGTCTGGGTGAGGATTCCTCAGCTGCCCCAGCCTTGTCTGTCAAGACCTGATTGCCTGCCTCAGGGCCACCTGGGCACCCCAGCTTGCCTTGTTATGCTGTGGGGATGTTGAGGGGGTCTCAGGTGTTGGGCTCCTATTATGCGTCAAACACTCCCCTGAGCATATATCTTCCTTGTTCCACCCACTCCACTCTGACAGGGGCATCCTCCTCTGTCATACACTGGGGTTCAGAGAAGCTAAGTGGCTTGCTCAGGGTCACACACCTAGTAAGTGGCAGACCCAGAAAGGCCTGGGTTCATCTTTAGGCCTCCGGAACCTTCACCTGCTCTAGCAAAACCATGCCCTCCACCTGCCTCAAGGTATGTTAACAGGCCATAGTGGGGAGCAGCAGCAGTTTGAATAGTTAACACTGTCCTGGAGGGCATGTGGATTAGTCTCAGAGGTACCAGCCCCACACTACACTGAGGAGGGACCTTCACACCTCCTCCTGCCTTTGAAAAGCTAGAATGGGGGTTTCTAAACAAACTGTGAGGGCTGCCAGGGTCTGGAATGAAGAAATTGAACTAACAAAGGAATTGTGGACCCTGGTGGAGAACCTTCTCAGAAGCTGTCCCCCACCTCATCCTAGGCTTCTCCAGGTTTTGGAGATGGCCAGATCTGGGTGCTAGACCCCACTCAGCCACTTCCTACCCATGGGACCTTGGGCAAGTGCTTCAGTTCCCCATCTGCCACCATCAAGCAGGGCTGCTCATTCTTGAAGCTATGTAGATAAACTCTTGGTGGGTACCCTGTGCTAAGAAAGGTTAGCGGGCCATGGAGACCCATCTCAGAGTGAGGGTGGGTGAGGAGACAAGTACGCCGTTAGCTACGTACTGTTTATGTTCCTACACAAATGAAGGCCTCTCATTCAGGGCTGGGCAGGGTCCATGGAGCTGGTTCCTACCAGGCCCCGATTAGTCAGTGCTGAGCATGAGATGTTCTGGCTCAGTGGGCTACTCTCCATGGGAAGAACAGTGAGGCCCCTCACCGCCCAGCCCCAGCCAGGAAGTGGGGGATCCATCCCGAGTCAAGTCCCCCTGGGTGTGCCTCCCTCATCCCCACCTTTAAGCCAACCAGCCACCTCCTTCCCTAGCTGGGAAGTCTCTGAAGTCTTCCACAGCACCCTCTTGGCTGTTTCAAAGCCCTCACAAGGGAGCAGGGCCGAGGCACCAGTCTGGGAGCTTATCTGGCTCTGAGATGAGAGGCAGGACTGAAACAGGAGGCGGAACATGGCCTCTCGCACCATCTCAATTTCCCTTATGTGCAGGGGGATGACTGGAAGCCTTGATCAGCTGGGCAACGCCAGGCCCAGCAAAGAAAAAGGACCTGGATACCAGGGACCAGGAAGGGTTTGCGTCTCCTCCTGCTGTTTCCACCCTCAACCAGGCCTGGCCCCACACTGTGCCCCAGCTGCCTAGGACAGGCCCAAATACCAGGAGACAAAGCCACACGCCAGGGTGGGGCAGTGAGCCCTCATCCTCAACTTTGGGAACTCTTCCTACTCCTGCAGCCCCCAAATAGGAGAAAACACAGTCGACAGTCCTGACCTATCAAGAAATAGACTTTATTACAAAAAAATATGTATGTAAACAAATAGCCACCACACTGAGCAGCCTCTGTCCTGGACGTGCACACCACAGGTGTGAACAAGGGCAGAAGTCACAGTTGGCTCCCACACAGGTGTGCCCCACCCCGGCCAGAGGGGCAGGCTGCCCCACAGGCTAGATTCAGGCTTCTGCCTCGGACACACATGGGCCTGTCCACACTTCTCTGTGGGCCCAGCCCTCACTGGCCTCTGGGGGCTGCATCCCCAGGCAGTACTGTCTGTCCATGACCATGAAGTAGGGGATGCCCAACTGGCAGTTCTGAGGAGTCCAAAGACTGGGCCAGCCCTGAGGCACAGAGGGCGGCTTGGCTGGACCAGCACACCAACCCGCCCATCTGTCTGCCCACCGCAGTGAGTGCCGTGGGGCCTAGAGAACCGAGAGGTCATGGCAGGACTTGGACTTGGCGCGAAAGGCCATCTTGCGGCTGTTGCGTGCTACGATGCGGCCCAGGAATCGCTTTGCCTTCTTGCCAAGGCTCTCTCGCCGCCGGGTACCCGCCTGCCGCCTTGCATTGGCCTCTTTGCTGTCCCTGCGAAGGCGTATCTGGCGTACAACGCCCTCAAAGAGCGCCTGGACGTTGTGGTGAAGTGCGGCAGACGTCTCAATGAACTTGCAATCAAAGACCACAGCGCAGGCCCGGCCCTCTGGTGTGGGTGGAGACAGGCAAGGGCAGTGAATAAAAGGTGGGTGAGTGAGGAATCACCTCAGGGCTGGGGTGCTCCCCAGAAACATGGAGGCCCTAGCTCCTGTACTTAGGGTCTGGGTTACTGCTAGGCCAACCAACCACCAGAGTGTGCCTGCCTCCAGGGAGCCCGTCGAGTGGTGACCACAAAATGAGACTCATTGATTGAAACACTTTGCTGTGTGCTATTGGAACAAGGAGCCCTGATAGCACAATGGTTACGTGCTTGACTGCTAACTAAAAAGGTCAGCAGTTTGAACCCACCCAGCCGCTCCGTGGGAGAAAAGACCTGGCAATCTCCTCTTGTGAAGATTAAACCAAAACCAAACTCTCTGCCACTGAGTCAATTCCAACTCATAGAGACCCTATAAGCACAGAGTAGGACTGCCCCGTAGGATTTCCAAGGCTGTGAATTTTTATGGAAGCAGACTGCCTCATCTTTCTCTCACGGACAGCTGATTACAGCACAAAACAAAACAAAGTTTGTTTTAGGCATTGGTGTTATATCATGATGAATGGCCCGGTAGCAGTAGGTAGCGGGGAGCAATGTCAACAAGTCACAGCTGGGTTTCTGAAGTGCTCAGTCCTGGAGAACACAGGGGAGCATACCTAGAGGGGAGGGTTCGCCCCATGGGGAAGCACACCCGAGACTGGCCCTGGCCTAGAACCTCAGGCTCTGACTTCCTGATCTGGTTCCCTACACTCCCTTCACCCTTCACCCGTCAGGCCAGGGCCAAAGGGGACAAGAGACAAGGGCCCTGAGGTACCCCAGTTCAGCACCCAGCAGCATCCACCTCCCCTGTCACACGTGACCTACCCCAACCCAGCCTTTGGGAGTCCTGCTGGTGGGCAGCAGATGTCCCTCCTCCCTTGAGCTTTTCTCCTGGACATTTTTAGCCACTGTTGATCCCCAGGGACTGGAGCTGAGCCAAGACTGACTAGACCACAGCCAAGCCAGGATCTCCCTCCTTCCCCCAAGTAGCACTCCCCTCCCTGCTCACCATCCACGGAGACCTCACGAGAGCGCACCAGGTCGCTCTTATTGCCCACGAGGATGATGGGTACGTCGTCGGTCTGCCGCGCCCGCCGCAGCTGAACCCGCAGTTCTGAGGCCTTCTCGAAACTGCCCTTGTCCGTCACAGAGTACACGATGACATATGCATCCCCCATGGCCATGCAGTGGCCAGGCAACCAGCGGCCCCCATCCTGGGAAACACACATACAGTCCTGTCCAGCAGTCCCCAGGCCTGAAACACAAGCCTGTCGCTCTCAGCAGGCCCCTACCTCTAGCCCACCTCTCCATCCCCGCCCTAGGTCTCAGTCTGCATCCTACCTGTTCCCAAATGTCATAGACCATGAGGGAGGCCTCTTCTCCGTCCACCACAATGGAGCGATCATATGTGTGCCCTAAGCAGAAAGACAGTAGCCAGGTTACCTGCTGTCTGCCCAAAGCCCCCAGTACCAGACTTCCCATTCTGGGCACATCCTCCAGCTTCTCCCCAGTGCCCTCAGCCCTCCCTACAACTAGCAGATGGCTGCCATGTGTCTCCCGGCCCTGGGAATCCATGGGGTGGGCAGGCAGAAGTAACAGGTCTGGGAAGCAGAGAATGGAGGGCATGGTGTCTCTGTCATTCACCAAGACACCCTCCAAGCTAGCAATGTCCTGAGGGCCCCTCCTCCTGCCTGAGCCCCAGTGCGGCTCTGACCACAGTAGCCTAAGTTAGAGTCAAGAATGTCACATCCCTCTGGGAGCCCTAGGTGACCTAGGGCACCTCTCCTAGCTATTCCCTTTGACTGAATTCCTGCCTACCCTGGCTGGGGAGGACATTCTTGTCCCCACCCTTACCCCACGCCAGAGTCCTCATATGAGAACGGAGCACAGTTTACTCTAGGAATTTCTTCCCCCACCAAGGACTAGAAGTCCCTCCCCCTCATTTTCTCCATCTGTGAAATGGGCAGGGAATCTCATGTATGTTACTTTTAGTCCAGGTTCCCAGCCCCATGGCTTCCGGTCCTGCCCCGGAATTTTCCCTCCCCTGACCCGCCTCGCTCTTTACCTGTGGGCTCTGCCTCAGGTCCCTCCTCCACGCCGCCAAAGATCCGGGCCAGGGCGCTCTTGCCCACGCCAGGCGCCCCCAGCAGCAGCACCTTGTACACGCTCTCGTCTGAGTCGCTGCCTCCGGAGCTGACGGAGTCGGAGGAGCCCTCGGGCCAGTCCAGCCTTGGAGCCTGGGCCCGGGCTCCGGCAGCCGCCAGCGCTCCGGGAGCCAGCGCCGCCTGCAGGTCGCGCTCGTCCACCGGCATGCTGCGGCGGTGCAGAGGGGGCGCCGGGCCCCAGGAGGCGCTGCCCCGACGGCGCTCGCGCTCCTGGCCCCCGCCGCGGCTGCCGCCGCCGTTCAGGGTCATCGCGTCCGACGGCTGCCTGGGGAGCCGGGACCAGAAGGGCCGCGTGAGCGGCGGTGGCGATGGAGTGAGACGCCTGACCCAGGACTCACCAGCCCAACCCGGAGTCAGGCAGGATGCTCGGTGCGAAGGGCCGGCCGCAGTGCCCCCCCAGCCGCGAGTGTCTTGCGCCCCGACCAGTGACCCATCCCAGCCTGGTCCGGCCATCCACAACCCAGACGGTGCGGCCAACGCTCCCTGCTCCGCCAGGACACTCACCCACTCGCACACAGACGCAGTCAGGACTCGGACCTGGGCTCGGAACCAACCGTCTAGCAGGCCCGGGCGTCGGGTTTGGACGCTCAGACCCCGGCCGCAGCCGCCGCCTTCTCAGCCGCGCTGGGTGCCCACTCGGACACCGCCTATTTAAGCTTCTGCCCGCCCCCGCCCCCGCCCCCGCCCGGAGCCGCGGGGGCTGACGTGTCCAGCTTCCCGCCCAGGGGAATCCCCACCCTCCTCCTAGGACCTCGACCCACCAAGACACCCGTCCCCCGCCCCCGCGCCCATAGCAGCTGCCTAGGAACATGGAACACAGGCGCAGACCGGGGTCTGAGTGGGGTGGGGAAAAGGAGGGGGTGCCGAGGGGGGGATAGAGGCGGGAAGGGAGTGTGTAAATGGAGCAGAGAGGGAACCTGTCATGATTTAAGTGTGGGGAAGCACCAGGTGGTGAAGAGGCCGCAGGACCGGCCATGGGGATAACTGACCCCCTGGAGAAGAATTAGGCCTGGCCCTTTAAGAGTGAATTCTCCCTTCCTTCTCCCCCAGGCCTGGCCTGTTGCCCAAGTCCAGTGGAGTGGAAGGAGTGAACAGACTGGATGAACGCTTCACCCCTTCCCTGCCCATGACACCACTGCCCACCTGCCTAGACCTAAAACAGGGGTCCTGAGTGTGGACATCAGCCTCAACACCTGTCTTTCCCATCCCTTGTCTTTCCTGAGGAGTTGAAGATTCTCCCTGCTAAGCCTGCCCTTTGGGGTGAGGGTTGGCATCCCCCCATGAACTCCAGGGGGCCCTTAGAGGGCTATTTGGGGGGCCATTGGAGACCTTCTGGCAGTGAGCTATAGGTGGAGGTGCCTGCTTGAGTTCTGGGGTGCCTGCTTGAGTTCTGGGGAAGGGACACTAGTGCAGGGAAAGAATGAACTGAGTCTCCAGCCCCCCACCCCCACCCGGACCCCACCCCCAAGCAGCTGCAACTCTGCTAAAAATACCTGGCCCTGGTCATTCTGCTTCTGGCCTGGAGGTTGCCCAGAGTTGGGGAAATCCAGACAGAAGGGAATCTAGGCCAACAGAAGAGGATGGTGCTGTGACAGGAACAGGGTCAGGACTAAATCCAGCCCCTTCAGTCTTCCCTGTCTCCCTCCTTCCCTCCAGCTCCAGCCTGAGCCTGCGGTACATGGTCTGGAGGTTCAGACTGACCAAGGAGGGACCCAGACGCAGAGTATGGACAAGGGGAGAGGGGTCTCAGCTAACACTTGGTGCCACCACTTGCCCAGAACTCACCCCCCTCATACCTGGGGCAGGGGGGACGCAATGGGAAAGACTTGGTTTTTAGAGCCGGCTCTGCCTCTAGCCCACTGGGTCTTGCCTCCCTCCCAGCCTCCAGGTGCCCATGACTTATTTCCCCTGACTCATTTCTGGGGTATATGAGGATTAGGGGCAGACAGGCTATAAGGTGTTGTGTTACAGGGACCTGTCAAACACTGAAGTTTATGACAAAGTTTATGGCAGATACCACGTGGGGCTCCAGTGACATCAAGGATGAATGTCATGTTGTTGTGGTGACCTGAGCTTTCTGGCTGCTGTGTCAGTTTCCTTAGCAACCCCTAAGAGGACCTTGTTGAGTGTTAGGGGGGCTTATGTGGGCCCCTCTTGTTTTTGGAAGCACCTGCAAGGTAGGCAAGGGCTGGCCTACCCATTTGTGTCCTTTCCATGGTCCTGGGGGTCTTAGGGGAGCTGGGTACCAGCTCTGGTCTCCTGGCCAAGGTCCAGTGGAAAGAGGGAGTGGTGGGCCAGGCTTACTGTCAGAGGATGTAGCATCAAGAGCCAGCACACCCCCTTTCATCAGGAATCCTGGCAGGGCTGTTTATGCACCCACATTGACCCAACCCCACACCTGGCTGTGCCACTGGAAAGAGCTCTGGGTGCTGAGGGTGTGTGTGTTGGGGGGTGGGCAGCTGTGCCTCTTCTCAGCACAGGGCTATGCAAGGAAACCAGCCTGGGTTTCCCCTGCAATAATCTGAGCTCTTGACCTCAGCAGTGTTTCTTCATTGCCAAGGAAACTGCATCCACACAGGGCCACTCAGGCCCCAGGCATTCACCAGCTGCCCCAATAGGCCACAGAGATGCCCATCATGAGCCTAGCGATGGCCAGCGACCCCAAGGGCCAAGACAAGACCTTGACTGCAAGACATCACCCCATCTCCACCCGGGTCCTCTCACCTCTCTGGGCTCAGCTTGGTTCCCCAGAAGGAGCTCCCCTAGGGAGCTCTGGTAGCATAGTGCCTAAGGCACTTGACTGCTAACCAGAAGGCTGGCAGTTCAAACCCATCAGCCATTCCTCGGAAGGAAGGTTAGGCAATCTACTTCCATAGTGATACTGCCTCGGAAACCCAAGGAAACGGTCGCTATGAGTTGGGTCCAATCCACAACACACAACAACAAGGTCCAGAAAGGAAAAGGACATGGCCTAGAGCTCACCATCCCTTCAGCCTCTGTGGAGTCAGTCTGGTCTTCAAATCCCAGCTCTGCCCCTTACTGTTTCACCTCTGCCTATCAATCCTCTTTAAACCTCAGCTGCCTCCTGTGTAAAACAGGAATAATGTTATCTGCACAGGGTTGTCATAAGATAGAAATGACTTGACATGCAGAGGTAAGGCTGTTGGAACAGGCCTGGCACATAGTAGTATCTCAATAAAATCACTTTTCTCATCATCATCCTTGGCTACACTGAACAGAACTGAGTGAACCTGAGGGCCCTCTCCTTCTTCTCCTCTCCAGCTGTGACTCCAGGAGAGGAGCAGAGATCCCCAGAGTAATAGATAGATACCTTCCCACACCCATCACGTCTCTATGGAACTCCACCCCCCCCCGCTCCCTCCCTCATGTATCAAAACGTTGTAGAGAACTTGGCTGGATTTCAGTATTCCCACCCCTCCTCAGGCAACAGCCTCCATGCCCCAAGACGTCTGCCCTTGTATAAGACTCAATCATTCCACTGAGCTGTGCCAAGTACTTACTGAGTGCCAGGTCCCCGTGCTGGAGACAAAATGATAAGTGATAACAGACAAACCCCATTTAGCCATGATTTGCTGTTCCCATTTTGTAGATATGATAACTGAGGTCTGAAAGGTCACAGGCTGGAAACAGCAGAGCCAGGCACACCTGGCAGAAGGTGTTTCTGGGGCCTAAAACTTTACCACCCTTCTATAACCCAGTGTCCTCAAGACAGCAGCTGGAGTTCCAGAAAGCTCCCTGGGCACTGGTCCAGGATGCACACATGGTGTCCTTGCAGGCAGCTAGGGGCCAGGCACCGATGAGTCAAGACTGACAAAGTGATATGCCAGCTGAGGCATGAGCAGCTTAGTGTTTTGCCCACTGTAGAATGGTTGGCAGGCAGACCGACCTAGTGACTCAGTGACCTGCCTTCTCCATGAAGCCCTCTCCTCCCAGCTGAACCCAGACATCACAGCCACCTCTGTGGTGCACACATGGGGAGGCCTGCAGGGAGGGGGATGTGGTCAGGAAGGCTCCCTGGGTTCTGTGGGGCCCTAGTGGTCACCCTGGTCTCTGATGCACTCACCTTCCCTATCTGTAGAAATGGCCACGATCACCTGCGAAAGGCTCAACTCCATGTTAAATCTCCACACAGCAGCCCCAAGTGATTGCATGACTAGTCCCATATCACTCATGAAGAAACTGCGTGACAGGGGCTGATGGCTTCACTGCTCAGAGCTTGGGCATCCAGATCCAGAGCCTCACTCATGGTCAGTAGGTAGAGAAGTCACTCTCCTGGGAGGGCAGATGGCATTAAGACTTAGGAGGTAGAATACCCTTAGTCCTCCATCTAGGCAACAGCGCCCCCTGCCAGTAAGCAGTACCTACCAAGCTGCTTCCCACCCCATTGCCCAAACTAAAACCAAACCAAACTCACTGCCCCGAATCAGATCCGATTCATAGCAACCCCTCCTTTTGAGGCGGTATCACTACGGAAGTAGGATTGCCCAATCTTCCTTCCAAGGAGTGGCTGATGGGTTTGAACCACCAGCCTTCTGGTTAGCAGTCAAGTGCCTTAGGCACTACGCCACCAGAGCTCCCTCCCCATTGCCCTGGAGTTGATTTTGACTCATAGGGACCCTGTGGGACAGAGTAGAACTGCCCCATAGGGTTTCCTAGGCTGTACATCTTTCCAGAAGCAGACTGACACAACTGTCTCCTGAGGAACAGCTTGCTGGTTTGAACTGCAGCCGAGCACTTTAACCACTGCACCATCAGGGCGCCTTCCAAGCTGTTCCTTTTTACTCCCTAGCTGGAGTCCCCAGAGGAATCAATTACTTATTCTGCAGTAATAATAATAATTTATGTCCTCACCTGCAAAGGGGATAATAAAAATAGCAACTGCCACACAGGGCTGATGGGAAATCAACAGCTAGACAGAATTTGTAAAGCCCTCAGCCCAATGCCTACTCTCAGGACAGGGTCAGTGTTGTGAGTTGGCCCTCAAGAACAGATCTGCCAAGTGCCCAGGCTCCTTACTGAGGCGTCTTGAGGATTTTGCTTACAATCATACCTGAAACAGGGGTAAGGTGGGGTAGGGCAAGACTTCATCTTTTTTTCTGTTTTTATTATTATTATTATTATGGTAAAATACATGTTGTTGTTGTTTTATGTGCCGTCGAGTCGGACCCGACTCACAGTGACCCCTCCTTTGGTTGCCGAGGCAGTATCACTACAGAAGTAGATTGCCTCA